TTACCAACGTAAGTTCTAAGTTCAACATGATTTGACTCCGTTCGACTCAGCACATTTTAGTATAACATGAGCTCCAGGTTGATTCACAGAATCTAGAAGGACTAAAACACTGGAGGCATGCGGCTATTTGGACGATTTAAGATGTTCCTAAGTCAATGGACAGTTCTCTTTGACTCTTTCACTTCCGAGAATGCCAAGATTTCACCAGGTATTTAGAACTATAACCTCACGAACGCACTGCTCAATTGCACGCAACGGAATGGTCACACAGTAGAGTAACATCACCAAGATTAAGACTTCACGATCTTGTACAGCATAATAAACAGTATCATATGAAAGTACTGCTCAGTAGCTTTCATTTGAGTGGTCACCCCCTAGAGTTTCATCCACAAACTTCTGGCTGTGACACACAAGGACTGGGAACTACAGAATTAATGAATTTGATTGGCTAAAATCAATATTGACCGTCGCGGTCTAGATTTTCTCATCTAGACCGGTTACATTTTGCGGTGAAAAAGTTGCACACCAAAATACAGAAATATTGACTATTTTTTTCTAAAAATATTAGCAGAAGTTCCAAAAAGCCTGATGAGAAAAAAGGTAAAGAGGACGAGCAAACTTTGGAAGATTTAAGTTCAGCTCATTGCCGTTCGCAAGCAAAATGTCAGCTAGTACGTACAAACCAGTTACATTAAACGAATTAAATTTTTCTTGGTTGCCATACAATAAACATCTTATTAACCGAGCTTAGTCGGTCTGTATGGGAGAATCTTGACCACGGTCGTGTGTACAGACCTCACTGCGTTCGGTCTGTACTTACGATCTCGGTCAAGATTCTCCCATACAGACCTCCTGCTTGGTTATTAAGAGCTAAGTACAGTACAAGAAAGAGTAGCACATGGAAGTGCTGCTAAATAGCTTTTATTTTGCATGGTAATACACCAGGACTTCATCCAAAGGCTTGCAAGTTAAAACCACCTTGTACTACAGTACCATAACCATAACAAAGGTACTACTCAGCACTTTTCATTTGAACGATCTGAAAGGTCTCGCTCACAAAGGGTTACTTATTTACCTATTTTAATACTTGAAGCTTGGCTCCAAAAGTGAAAGGGTTACCTTTTGGTTTTGATATTGTTTTACACACCATCAACACGTTTAAAATGTCTCTTAACAAAAAGAAATCTGATGTTATCGAAAAGACTAGCAAAAGACGAAATATTCTTCATGGTGACGCTGTTCATACTTAGGGCCTCTATCTAGCAACTGGCATAGACACATCACCAGAACTGGGCTCTCTTGGGGGGCTCTGAGGAAAAAAAGAAAAAAAGAAAAAGTCTGCATACGAGCCAAGTGGCCCAACAGACTCTCCGGTTTCTATAGCATCAAGGGACTAGGAGTATTTCTAACCCCCACCCCCGCGATGGGATGCTAGTCCATCGTAGGGTTACCTCCAGCATTAAATTCACCGGAACCCATTTGTACACCNAACACACTCTAATGACATAAATACAAACCAAGTTATACAATAACTAGGGGATCTATAATTTGAAGATGTTTTGTACTTCTTCAAGAGCTGTATAGTTTTAAGGAGCTACGTGACGGTTTCACTTTGCGCATCTTGAAAAGTTTAGCCTAAATTAGTTTTCCAAGTTCGTCGTTTGTAATCCGTGTTATTCTTCTCCATCCTTAACCATCCTTGTTCCTTTATGATTAATTATTATCTCTTTGTTGTTTTTCTATCTTAGTAAGCTATTATTTTCAGGTTTGCTTCAATTTAAAGGTGATTTTCTACGCGGCCATTAAACAACTCAAAATACTGTGACTGAGCTCCTTAAGTGAAACCCTTGTATTTAAAGCAACAGGGCCGTGATCGTTGGGATAGTTTTCAGAGGGGCTGCTTTATTATCGGTATTTTACGAAATCGTAGGAGATAATTTTACTTTGTTATGCGAGTCGATCCTGGCCTGAATCTGTCCATCAAGTATCAGCTGTGACAGCTCATCTTCCAAGTTTGTCACTGTTGTGTTGAACGCATGCGCCATCTTCTCCATGTCCGCTGACACGTAAGGACTGAAGTACTACAACGAAACAACAACCGCTTAAACCGTGATACCACAACACAAACAACAACATGAAAATTACGGCAGACCTGCCCAAAGCTAGTAACCTGCAGCAGCACACAACTAAGACAGCTAAAAGGGCCAGGAACTAGAATTAGTAAATGAGATTGCTCTATTGCTGGTCAAATACAGGTATTTCCCAGGTATTGGAGTCGATTTGGTTTTTACCTTTTAGTCATACAATAGAGTAATAAATCACTCATCGACCATACTTGCTGGAGCCACGCCGTGTTTCCTTACACAAATTTAAAACATTTTACAGTTGCAGAAAGTCGAACGCCCGGGAAAGTTTGGGAGAACTCGAAAGAGCCGTGGAGAGTGACACTCGCCTGCTGTGTTCCCACGTTATTTCTCGTTCTCTCAAAAATCCACTTTCTGTTTCTCTAGCTCGATAGAAACACGGAGAAAAGTCTTGTCTTTCGTAAGTTTACATTTCGGTACATTTGCAACGTATTCTGCGGGCTCGTAACGTCACGCCCTCGCTCGGTTGCTGGTTGGTAGGAAAATAACTGCGCGAACAATTGTTCTGAAACACTATCTATGGGTTTCCTATAGGCATGTTCTAGAAAAGCTCAAATACTAGATGATGGTGGAACCGAAAAATATAGACATAAATACTACTAACCTGCACAAGCGCTCTGTTTCTGATCTGACTGTACAAGGTGTTCACATGAGGAGCTAGATACATGTCTAACATGAAGTTATCCTGTAACAAATAACATTGGAAAATTGTCCTGATTGTTTTCCTAGTTTGTTTTAAATACACGACAGCATGGTTCGTCACTCTTCAGTATGCATGCAGGCGCAGCAATTTAAGAGTGTGGACAAAATCAGTCCGTCAGGATTGACTCTTGTATTTGTACCTTCATTTCATCCAGGAGTTTCAGACAAGCAGCATACTGCGACTCGTGGAACTTGTACAGAACATCTCTCAACTGCGGCTCCAACTCCAGGAAAAGCTTAAATGAACTATGATGACAACAAAATGAATAGATGATTGGCCAAACATTGCCAAGTCATGTACGTGTATAGTGTATGAACTGATCAAACCAAAATACCAGAATTTATTTTCCGCAGCAATGTTCCTAAAACAAATTTCCACCATGATAAAAATAAACGTTGCCGTATAAATCATAATCGCTTTGGAAGTTCCTTGCAGTCAAAACTGAGCTGACCTACCGAAACGACACGACAATAGTCCTTATCTTCGAAGCTAACAAAAAATATAGGCACTGCTAAGTTGGTTTTATTTGACGAGGGACAGCATGTTTTGTTCAAGATGACAAAACTTTTATCGTACCTAGCGACAGCGATCGAAGAGCGAGTTGCCGAACGCCGGCGACCCATTTTTGGCGCCAAATCAAAAACTTGGAGACACAAAATGTTTCATCTTTTTTAAATTTTTACAATCTGATATGGTTTTTGGAATTGTAAATCTCTTTTTCGTGAATATTGTTGGCCCGACTTCAATGCCTTTCTTGTTAACATACATTGACGTCAGGACAGTACAGCTTTTCCCGCCTGTTGAATCCTGATTGGTCAATTCAAATTTCCGGCGCACCGGCCGTATGCAAGGTTGTATGTCGAGGTCACGAAGAATCACCAAAAACGCATTCAAGCTGTTAAGCTTGTGAAATCCTTGGCTCGTCTTCTGAATATCTCGGTTCACTTAAAGTTAACCGGTTTAAGTCTCTGTGTCATTTTCGGAAGTCTTCGGGGACTCAACTTTGGAAATCCTTGATTTATACCCCTACGCGAGACGACGAGCATCCCCGACGTTTATGGGGGTCCCCGCTCCCCGGGGGATCCATATAGGTAGGTAACAGTGGACATACCTGCTTGATAAAACCTTCTTTTGTAGCTCCTGCCTGTCAAACGAAGCCAGTGCACATAGTCCTCCGTACACAGCCACATTATTAGGTGAAATTATCTGTGTACATGAACCACAAAAAACACTTGGACAAAATGCCTTAAGCAAGTTACATGGAAGCATTCACAACAAGTAACGTGCCAAACATTACTTTTGTTGCTCGTATAGTGTAATCGTCCGGGTGAGGGTAGCTCTGAAAAGAAATGTTGTTGGTGACTGACGTTTCGACAACCTGAGCGGAAGTCATTTTCAGAGTGAAGTGTGAATAGTGTTTGTCAGTTGATGATGTTATAACTCCAACAATAGACAGATCGAAATTTACTAGAACCGACCAATGACTGCTGATGTCATCACCGCTAAACTGACCAATCACTTTCAACGGACCATACTTATAACACCATCGACAGACTAACACTATTCACTTGACTCTGAAGATGACTTCCGCTCAGGTTGTCGAAACGTCAGTCACCAACAACAGTTCTTTTCAGAACTACCCTCACCTGGACGATCACACTATACGAACTACTGATACTCCAGGCTTTAAACCAATTACTATGAAACATGACTTTTCTCTCACTGTAACAGTATTGTCAGTTACTAACCTCTGGGCATTCACAGTTGTCAAATGAAGCTTGCAAGAAATTCCTGGCAGCTGACTTGTATTTCCTCGCAGCAAGCTCTGCAAGACCTATGAAGAAGAACACTTTTTATTGAGTTTGTATTGTGTTTTTAACGCGTCATAGAAACAGAAATGGAAGTTCGGGAGAACTACATGCCGAAATGCGAAAGCGAGTGTTTCCACAGCTTTTGTGAGTTCTTTCAAGCTTCCAGGGATGTTGAAAAACTCGAGAAAAACATCCAGAGAAATCGTGTGTTATTCAGCCTCTTTGGCAGCAATGCAATTTTCACCGTCATTATTGGATTATGTCAGGGTTCAAATTGCATTTGAACAAGAAAGTGTTATGCGGTGGTTTACACTTTTACTTTCGGATGAAACCTGCTTTACACGGTTTAAATTTAAGACGTACTTGTCCGTTAGTACACAGTTACAAATTTGATATAAAATTTCACGATCAATAATTTCTATGCCGATAGTCAATCGGTAAGTTACTGACGAGATTTCTAATTGTTTTTGGTTTTTTTTTTTTAACCATTTTGTTGATCGGGTCTAATACTATATTCCTGCCTTTTCTACAGCAAACGTTTTGTTTTAGAAGCTGTCGGTAACCTGTCGGTAGCCTGTCGGTAACTTGTCGGTAACTTGTCGGTAAGCTGTCGGCCGACAGCTTACCGACGGTGAGGTCGGTTTCGGGACCTCTCCTTCCGTCTTTCTAAAGAACTACCGTGTAGAAGAAACGTTTTCGCGGGAGCGATGTTACTGCTTGTTTTCTAAAAAAAATTGTAGAATTTTCATGACTTGCACATTACACATTGTATTTCTCACAAGTCATGACAGCATGACAGCAGTTTAGCAAGTGCACCTCTAAAGCATTTGGAACTGTTACTATTTGTTTTTCCCTGATATTTTGAATCTACTTTCTAGATTGTTTGAGAAGATTGCTGAATATATTGAGAACTCCAAAACTGTGTGGATGTATTTCCTAAATAAAATTGGCACACTACCATTTACCTGCAGCACACTTGAGTCTTGTAAGAGTCACCAAGTTTGGTCTTCTGTCTTTCTGCTGTAACAACAAATAAGCAAACCAAATATAAAAAATAAAACACAAAAAGAAAAAGAGAAAAAAAAATGTTGTAAAAACGGTTGGTGTAAAACACAGACTGCAGACTGCAGACCAGGGGTAAAATGCAAACTGCAGACTACAAACTTATTAAGTATATATTGTGTTATTTTCATTATCAAGTGCTAACCGTAAACAGGGTTATTCAGGCTAATTGCAGTGAAAATCTGCGCTCCGGTCCGCTTAGCGTGAATATCACTGTGGTTAGACTGAATATCACTCCAGTTACTCTGTTAGCCTGAATATCTTTCAGGTTAGCCTAAATAAAACTCTGTTCAGCCTGTTTATTGTTAGCTCTCAATGATGGCAATGGTAACACGATTCAGTTGAAAAGTCTACAGTCTACATTTTACCCCTGGTCTGCAGTCTACATTTTACCCTCAATCTCCACTCTATCCCTGTTCAGCAGTCTGCATTTTACACCGACCGGTTGTAAAACCTAGTCAGTGATACAAGACTACTTGGAAATTTTCTCCAAATATAATTTACCACGCTTAACATAACCATTATTTCTTTTCAAATTGAGGGCTTTTATCTTGCTATAACCAGCAATACATTTAACTTGTACATATAACTTGTGTCCTTACCTCAGCAAGCTCTGAAGTGTTTTCTGCCTTGTTAACATAATTTAACACATGTGACCAGTTACCCAAGTGAATACTGACCTGTCAATCATAAACATGACAATGTCAATGAAAACTGTATTGTGTTTACAAATATAAACAAGAAAACTGAAAAACCTTTTTATATTTCATATTTCACTCCATATGCTTGACAAATGTTCTGGACATAGATATACAAGAAACAGCACATTACATTGAAGAATTCAATCTCTATACATGTACCTTGATGACATTAACACACATATTAACAACATGTTTAGCTGTGGTGCAGTAATCTCTTGCTCTTGAGTAACACTTTAAAGCATTGCTGTTAATTGACAAGAAAATACAAAAAAAGAATATTTATTCATTAGTCTCCTAAATGATATTAAAAAAAAAACCAACAACAACAACAACAACAAAACAATACAAAAGATCTATCAAACTGCTGCTAAATATGCAAACAAATGAAGAGGGTTCTCAACAGAATTTTTCACACGCAGCCAAGCAAAAATTAGAGGGGGTTGGAAGATACTACCAGAGTATGGAGCCTCTAGGAGTGGGGACTTAGGGAAATTGAAATTATACAGTAGATTGCCAAAGATGTGCTTTCATTTGGGGGCGGGGGGTGAGGTTGTTGTTGTATCTTTGAAGCACTTTGACTGAAAATAAGAGAGAAATGAGTTGTTCATAAGCATCAAATAAGCTGTGTCACATGTTCCATATAAAGTCGAACTCCTATTAAGCGGTCACGTATTTAAATGGCCACCCCTGTTGGGCAGCCATTTATCAAAGTCCTGATGAGGGCTTTTCTATTGCTTTTGACCTCTATTACATGTAAGCGGCAAGCCTTCTTTAAGCAGCCACTATTCATCTCCCTGAGGGTGGCCATTTAACAGGAGTTGAACTGTAGATGAATTCAGTGACATAGTTTAATGGCTGGATCAGGTGGGTATGTACATTTGTTTTCACAGCTGGCAGAATTCAGCCAGCTGTCTACTTTTACTGAAAACCATATAAACAACAACAAAAAATGAACACCTTGCATTGTGCAATATAACAGCTACCAATGAAAGTGGAACCCACCATAATAACATTGACTATAAAGCTTTTCATAAGCACATGGCAGTTATTTTGGCCTGAAAGAACTCTATCGGGAGTAAATCATGTTTCAATTAAGTTTTAATTTGTTAATATTGTTGTTGCTGTACTAACTTTAGGTCTCCACACTCAAAGTAATGATCACCCAGGTCATCATGTCCTCGTCTGTCAAACAGATATAACACGTAGTGAGTACAATATAATACATTGCAGGCCTGTGCTCTACAAGTGCCTAGGTGCCACAGGTGACTAACTTTTGCCCTTGGGTAACTGGAAAAACTGACTTTTTTCATATAAGCGTAAATGTTGGGCACCCTTATAATTTTTCTTAGACCACAGCCTTACATTGTTAGTGATTCATATGAGATTTTTGGCCTGAAGGATTAAATTATAGTCATCTTTGAAAACCGGACAGCTAGTAAAAGTAATCCCTACACAATACAGTGTGGCTTGCTTAAAACAAGGTTCTTGTACCAATAATTAATTATTTATATTTTATTTTTAGCCTACACCCAAAGATTCTTGACCTAATAGTCATTCCTGATTTACTAGTAAGAACCATTGCTTAAAGGTCTGGTTTTCAGTCAGTTACTGTTGCAATTGTGATTGTCAGCAGTATACATGTGAAACACCTCCATCAGTAATCATGGCAACTTTATTACTGATAACNTAACACCATCGAAAGACTAACACTATTCACTTGACTCTGAAGATGACTTCCGCTCAGGTTGTCGAAACGTCAGTCACCAACAACTTTTCAGAACTACGCTCACCCGCGGACGATCACACTATACGAACTGCTGATACTCCTGGGTTCAAACCATTTACTATGAAACATGACTTTTCTCTCACTGTAACAGTAGTGTCAGTTACTAACCTCTGGGCATTCACAGTTGTCAAATGAAGCTTGCAAGAAATTCCTGGCAGCTGACTTGTATTTTCTTGCCGCAAGCTCTGCAAGGCCTATGAAGAAGAACAGTTTTAATTGAGTTTGTATTGTGTTTTTAACACGTCATACACGTAGAAACAGAAGTGGAGGTTTGGGAGAACTACATGCCGAAATGCGAAAGCGAGTGTTTCCACAGTTTTTGTGAGTTCTTTCAAGTTTCCAGGGATGTTGAAAAACTCGAGAATAACATCCAGAGAAATCGTGTGTTATTCAGCCTCTTTGGCAGCAATGCAATTTTCACCGTCATTATTGTATTATGTCAGGGTTCAAATTGCATTTGAACAAGAAAGTGTTATGCGGTGGTTTACACTTTTACTTTCGGATGAAACCTGCTTCACACGGTTTAAATTTAAGACGTGCTTGTCCGTTAGTACACAGTTACAAATTTGATATAAAATTTCACGATCAATAATTTCTATGCCGACAATCAATCGGTAAGTTACTGACGAAATTACTAATTGTTTTTGGGTTTTTCAAAACCATTTTGCTGATCGGGTCTAATACTATACTCCTGCCTTTTCTACAGCAAACTTTTTGTTTTAGAAACTGTCGGTAACCTGTCGGTAATGTGTCGGCAACTTGTCGGTAAGCTTTCGGCCGACAGCTTACCGACGGTGAGGTCGGTTTCGGGACCTCTCCTTCTGCGTTTCTAAAGAACTACAGTATAGATGAAACGTTTTCGCGGGAGCAATGTTAATGTGTGTTTTCTACAAAAATTGTAGACTTTTCATGACTTGCACATTACACATTGTATTTCTCACAAGTCATGACAGCATGACAGCAGTTTAGCAAGTGCATCTCTACAGCATTTGAATTTGTTACTATTTGTTTTTCCCAAATATTTTTAATCTACTTTCTTGATTGTTTGAGAAGATTGTTGAAGATATAGAGAACTCCAAAACTGTGTAGATGTATTTCCTAAATAAAATTGGCACACTACCATTTACCTGCAGCACACTTGAGTCTTGTAAGAGTCACCAAGTTTGGTCTCCTGTCTTTCTGCTGTAACAACAAATAAGCAAACCAAATATAAAAAATAAACCACAAAAAGAAAACGAGAAAAAAAAAATGTTGTAAAAATGGTTAGTATAAAACACAGACTGCAAACTGCAGATGGGGGTAAAATGCAAACTGCAGACTACAAACTTATTAAGTATATATTGTGTTATTTTCATTATCGAGTGCTAACTGTAAACAGGGTTATTCAGGCTAATCGAAGTGAAAATCTGCACTCAGGTCTGCTTAGCCTGAATATTACTCTGGTAAGACTGAATATCACTCCAGTTACTCAGTTAGCCTGGATATCTTTCAGGTTAGCCTAAATAACACTCTGTTTAGCCTGTTTATCGTTAGCTGTCAATGATGGCAATGGTAACACGATTCAGTTGAAAAGTCTACAGTCTGCAGTCTGCATTTTACCCCTGGTCTGCAGTCTACATTTTACCCTCAGTCTGCATCCTATCCCCGGTCTGCAGTCTGCAGTTGGCAGTCTGCATTTTAAACTGACCGACCGGTTGTAAAACCCAGTCAGTGATACAAGACTACTTGGAAATTTTCTCCAAATACATTTACCTTGTATCACTGACTGATACTTTACCGCACTTTAAGCATCACCATTATTTGTTTCCATATTGAAGGCTTTTCACTTGCTTTAATGAGCAATATATTTAATTTGTACATATAACTTGCGTCCTCACCTCAGCAAGCTCTGAAGTGTTTTCTGCCTTGTTGACATAATTTAACACATGTGACCAGTTACCCAAGTGAATACTGACCTGTCAATCATAAACATGACAATGTCAATCAAACTGCATTGTGTTTACAAATAATTCTTTTTTCTGTGTGTCAAGAATGCAATAAACAAGAAAATTGAAAAACATTTCATATTTCACTCCATATATGCATGACAAATGTTCTATACATAGATATTATTACAAGAAACAGCACATTTAATTGAAGAATTCAATCTCTATGCATTTACCTTGATGACATTAACACACATGTTAACAACATGTTTAGCTGTGGTGCAGTAATCTCTTGCTCTTGAGTAACACTTTAAAGCATTGCTGTTAATTGACAAGAAAATAAGATCCAAAAAAAAA